TGCACACGCCATTCCGAAATCGCAGGAGGGTCGGTGTAATGCACTACCAAAACGCCCGTAACTAAGAAAGAAATGCTAATTCGATGATGCCGTCTGGCACACTGATTCACTATGAATGTAGGCCCAACCTCTTAGCGGCAGAAGCTCGTACTACATCCGGTTCGCCCTCTATTGACACAGTCTTGAAACCTTCTGATCGCACCTCGTATCTTCTTACATCTGTCATGAGTCTACCGTCATCAGCATGGCAATAGTGTGTTTCATTCAATTCCAGTGTCTGAAGTCAAGAATCGAGACAGTTCTCATTTGCAGTTGGCATGGAATGTTGCAGGGGCCTTTCTAGTGCCGTACGTCATCATGCTGTTCGCCATGGGTCTTCCTATTTTCTTCCTGGAGCTCGTCATCGGCCAGTATTCTGGACTGGGACCCAACAACGCCTTCCAGAGGATTGCGCCAATCTTTCACGGTAATTGCATGTGTGTGATCATTAATTTGCCGTATCAACTGCTCGGATTTTAGCGCACAATAAATGGCTTCGGAAAGATACTTTTAGATTACACTCTGCTGGTCGTGTGGACGAAGCTCGGCATTGAATGTAACTGCAGGTTATGTAACGGCGATCTCGCTTGGATGCCGTTCGTCTTCAAGTTGACCCGGGTCACAAATCTGACCTATGAGACAGCGTGAAGAACCTGTTTCCATACAGGTGATTCGTGTTACTTCTTCCGGAGGTCAGAAAACCTGAAGGGAACAGACCAATTGGGGACTGTTGTATGCGTGGGAGGATATTATTAAAATGAATCTTATGGAAATAACTGTGTGAGGGGGTGGAATGGATTCAGCTGGATCAAAACAGGGTCCGTTGACAGTATTTTGTAAACATTTGCTTATTTTAGTGCTCCATTAGATTTATAGTTATAGATTGTTGGTGGAGTACTACACTGAACCACAATCATAATGGCAGAATTCAATGAAAATACAAGAAATGGTGTTTATGTAAGATATCTCATTGTCAGGTGGTCTGTTCACAGGGCTGGGTTATTGCACCCTGGTTGTGATCACACTTATAACCATCTATTATCAAGTGATTATCGCCTGGACAATCTTTTACGTCTTTGCTTCGTTCACAAGTGAACTTGGTTGGGGATCGTGTGGCCACGACTTCAATACTAATGGTGAGTCTCAAAATGAGGTTCAACACTGCTAATATCAAAGAAGATATCTGATCCTGAGCTGGTTCGATGTTGTACATATCCTTAAATTGTACTCGTCTAAACTATTTTAATATTATTCTCTCATATAATATTTTATCTTCCAAAATGCTTCACCACAAAAATTCTACACACATTTCTTGTTACCCCAAAATAATTATGTTTCTAACCTATTGCAATCTCCTTGATATATCTACACAACATGTAATGGAGTGAATAGGTCTATAAAATAATCTGTGCTCATCAGAGGAGACATTTTAGTAGGAACAAATGAAAGAAATGGCATTGTATGAATCCATTCTGTGATTATTTTTTATTTTTGCAAAATATTATACATGAAAATTAAAGCATAATCCTTTAGATGTCTGAGGAATAAAAATACATGTTGATATAAAATATGACCTGTTTCTGAGTGCAGATTGTTACTCCGAGGCAGCTAATGCCGAGTGCCTGAGTAAGTCGGAGAACGAGTCTTGGCCGCTTACATTTATTCACCGCACGTGTCGCCCAGTAGGGGAAATTTGCGCAGAGAATAATCAGACTCTGCACAACTATACGCACTGCTTCAATGGCACATACAACCATCTTCATTCTATCGTTCAACGAGTACTATCATCTGAGGAGTACTACAGGTATGTCGCCTTCTAGCTTTTCCAACCACCTTCATCACTTGCTTAATAACTCCATGAAACAGAATCATTTAAAAAAAAACCTTATAAGTCACTCAGTTGATCAAGAAGTTCCTTGCCATTTTTAAACACGGAAGTCTGATTTTTGTGTTTGGAGTAGCCCATTGCTGGACCTATTCTGAACCAAATGAGTGTAGTCTACACCCATACATTCATTTTTAGTCTACAACGAACTTTTTTCTCCTTCAGAAGACTACATAGTGAACAGCTTTATAATTTGCATCCTTTAAATTACAGTAGCGTGGGTCATATGGATCAGGAATGCAGCGCTTCAAAGTTTGTACTCTTTGTGATTCATGATTTTTGCCCTTTACCTTCCATTATTAAGGTGTGAAAGGTTGAAGCAATTTCAACATTATTAGGACCTCCGTGGACAAGGTAATGAATATTATATAAGAGTGGAGAATCTCTCGACAGCCGAGTGATCATAAACTTTCGAACAAATGCCGTGCTACATAAAGTTGGTTTCGCCATGGATTTGATTTCTATTAAATTTCTGTGCTTCTGTAATTTTAAATATAAGCGTCTGTAAAATGAAACATATTATGTAAAGTAATTACGTATAATGAGTTTAATGTTTTGTTGTCTTACAGAGACTACGCACTGGGTATCAATGGAGCAACCTGGGAATCATGGGGCATACTTCGCTGGGAGATGGTCCTCTGTCTGTTGTTGTCATGGATCTTGCTGTATCTTTGTCTCATGAAAGGCATCCAGTCCTCTGGGAAGGTTACATATTTCACCGCTTTCTTCCCTTACTGTGTGCTTCTAGCTCTACTCATTAGAGGTGAGGGCCTATCATTCTATGTGTCCAAGAAGTAGCACTGATCCTTATAAAGTCATTATATGTTGTGATATTATTCTTATTTTAATTTGTTAAGTGTTCGTCATACTCGGGCATGAACGAAGAATGCCTTGTAGCCTTACGGACATATTCATGCCTGTCTGTCAATTTTTTGCATCAAATAGGTCCCATTTACAGAACAGTTGGACAACATTATGAGATCGTGGCAGGCACCAACAAATTAACAAAGCCAAATTTTCTTTTCTCTGGACAATTAAGATATGGACACCAAATAATACACAAAACAACACGACGTTTAATGATACAAGAAACCACGCAATCAAAAATACGTACTTTCAAAAGTACAATTATTATTACTCAAGTGGGAAGCTAGTGTGATGTTTGGCACTGCATTTCATCGGCCAGTTTTTCAAATTTGGGAGTGTAGGATGATGTTGCTGCTCGCAAACAATCGTCAAGATGGGTGTCAGTAAGTCGAGATCTGCGCTTTGATTTTATGATGTTCATGGTTGAACGGCCTTCATTATTCAGTATAACCTCTTTCCGTAACAACGCTGGCACCCAAAAAAAGCCATGGCTGGCGCCATGGGGACCACTGGGCTACACTAATGGTTGAATATAATAATTTGAGGTATATCACTTCAAGCCTCTCTGTTACGAATCTCCTTAGTACTTTGCTAAAACATAATACGTGTCCTAAAGTGGAATGTCATCAGATTACAATGACCTCTCTTATTCTCAGGTGTAACCTTAGATGGGGCCTATGAAGGTATCATATTCTATATCACTCCCACGTGGGAGTCTCTGACTGATGCACGTGTGTGGGGTGATGCAGCGTCACAAACATTCTATGCTCTTGGCATAGGATGTGGCTCATTGGTCACTCTTCAACCGATTCAACAACAACTGTCACCGGTAAACAGCGTATGATAAAGACTGTAGAATTCTTTGAGGTTAAGCACACAGGAAGTGGAGGGAAGAGAGTTTAGAAAATCAGAAACACATAATTTTACTTTAATTTTAATAGTATTCATTACTATTTAAGTTTTGTGCTTTATGTTAAGAAGTTTGTCATATTTTGTTCTATGATCATTACTTTGCTGCAGTGATTAGGTTTGTTTGGCGTAATCTCGGTAAATGTAAAAGTGACGATGCTTGTGCCCATGACTTATTACACTTACGAATATTTTAAATTTAATTATCAAATGGGAAGAATATGTGAATGCTTTCTCTTTGTTAGTTAGAAGCACATGTGCCAGTTGGTTGAATAGTTGCGGAATTATTTTTTTAAAAGCGTCTATCCAGTCTAATGCTATGTCCAGACAAGAGACATTATGATGGTCATGTTCTATAGGTCAGTAATTCACTGTGTGAGAATCATCTATGACTTTAGAGAGAGTTGTGGTTGTTATGACACGCGTTGACATTTAATCTAAGGTAATAGCTCAAAACTGGTTTTACTTTCTTTCTCTCTTGAATTATAACCTTCCTTTTATTCTTGTTATTTAACTTAAGTAACTTCTATACTCAGAAAGTTCCAGTTATCTTATATCATAAGATTAGTGCAAGTGTCAAAAATGTTATTAGACCAGCAAATAATCTTTATGATCTTTGGATTTTACAAAATGACTTCATGGCAATAAAGCAGTTTTGATCAAAATCTGAATTCTCCTTTGTAATATCTTAACGTAACGTCATTAGTATGATACAAAATCAAGATTTTTTTAGAGAAATGGAAAAATATATTAACACAAGGAAATCAGAAACCACAGTCTTAAAAAAATTTATATCTCTGAACCAATATAGTCAGCTTTTTGGGGATAAATTTCGTTGTTACTTCGAGCCATGAAAACAAGAGAGGAGTGTAAGAAAATGTCAGTTGATATTGAGCTCTTATAGTCAACTTTAAAATTTCCCTTGCATTACATTTGCAGAGATGGTCATCAATTTAATGCCCACGTCTGCTTTCAGGGACGCAATCTTAGTGTCAGTAGCAAACATGCTGACAGCGATATTGGCCGGTTTTGTGGTGTTTGCGATACTGGGCTTCCTTGCAAAGGAGAGTGGCGTGTCTGTAAAGGATGTAGTTTCATCTGGGCCTGGTCTCGCTTTCATCACATATCCAGAAGCTGTTCTACGCATGCCTCTGCCCCAACTTTGGGCTCTCCTGTTCTTCATCATGCTCTTCACTCTTGGCATTGGAAGCCAGGTACTGCTGTAAATTCATTTAATTAGTAAATTGGTTAAGTGAGTACTTTGTATATCTTAATCTCATTAAACAGAGGAATACAGTTGAGATTTAATGTTTTCATAGCAGTAAGTATGAAGATGACAGTCTTCCAGGATGTCGCACCATGTCTGGTAGAAGTTTACCAATGTTTCAGAGGTATTTGTTGCCTCCATTATCAGGATAATAAATAAGCCATAAGTTAGGAATTGGCTTGAGATATGTGAACCAGCCTGGACCATGGGGCCAGATGAACATTTCTTCCATGTAGCAAAATCAGCAGATGAGATT